TAAATGATGAGAAGAAACTTGTGTTTACAAGATATAATAATAAGAAAGTTGGAATCAAGCAAGTTAAATTGAAAATCTTGTTTTGATTTATTAATTTTCAATTTTATATTTAAATTATAACATTTTAAATGTTTGGAAGGTAGTTTCCCTAAAATTTCGTCATATTTGAAATATTATCCTCGTCTTTTTTGATACTATCTGATCCTCGAATATTTGTCCATACCATGTCAACCTGAGTAAAGTTACTCGTGCTTGATCAACTTATTTTGAATTTTTAATTCTAGAATCTTGTACTCACTTGTCCCTTACTGGATTAACTTTTATATTGGGGCCTTAATCTTGCCTAATCTTGCACCCACCTTACCCCACATCTTTGTCCAATACTGGGTTAGCATAGTTTAGGTCTTGATTCTTGCTAAGTCTTGCACCCAACCTCCTTATCCCCCAATATGTTTAACAAATACTGATATTATTAGAGTAAATTACAACCTAGGTTTCAACATTTGGAAATATTACACTCGAGTCCCTAATCTTTGTACTTTTGACCTAAAGGTCATGAACTATTAATATTTATAATCATAACAAACCTTAAAGGAATATATATATAAGGAAAAAACTCCGTCTTCATCCCATCACAATCACATCTTTAATGATAAGAAGAAGTGCAACCAAATTAATACTAAGTTAATAAGCCAATTCTGGAAATGTAAGCTAATTTAGTTCATTCTTATTTGAAAAATACGACCATGTTTGGTTAAGCAAATTTATTTATAAGTAAAAAAAAATTAATTATATTTGAATATTCAAAATATGTTTCACAGCAAGGTAATAATTATTTTTTGTAAAAATTAATTATTTTAACTTCAAAAAGGAAAATATAAGTGATTATCACTTTAATTTTCTTGTCTAAATTAGTGAACATGCTACATCGATAAACATGAAAAACTCAAAGATTAAGAAGAAAGGGTGAGAAGCCAGAATGATAACGTTTACGACAGCCTAGGATCAATTGTAGGGATGTGGCTCGGGACTATGTTCTCAATTTATTAACCTTGTAGAAAAAATTTAAGAATAAAAAGAATATTCACGTCTTATATTTAGTCTGTTTTTGACTCATGTTTATAAACGGGGTTAATCAGTACAAAGGTCACTCTCTAGTTTTCTTAAAGTTTTCGTTAATGGTCATTGGAATATTTTTCTTATGGTAATTGTCACTCAAGGTTTTAACAATTATGTTATTAGTCACTATCTTAAAAAAAATTAACTTTGAAGCCTACATGACACTGTTGTGATGATGTGTTACCAAACGGTGTTATTTATGAAGCCACTTCACTTATTAATTTCAATAATAATCACGCAAGTTTTAAAATGTTATATTAATGGTCTTTGTATTGTTTTTCTTACTATGATAGTCATATATGTATATAAATAAATACCATATTAAAGGTCAAGATGTTAAAATGATTAATGTTGAAGTCTAAGTCATATAATCAAGTGTTGATGTGTTACCAAGCGTGATTATAAACAACTCCACATCAAACAAGTCGTGTTTAAAAAGTTAAAAGGCGTCGTGTTATAAATTATACCATTTGTGACACCTAGCATTAAGGTTGTCACATAGGCTCCATCATTAATTTCTAAACATAATGAACGTTGGTATAATATTTAGAAACATGGATGATTATCACTATATGAAAAATACTTCAATGATCATTAGTGTAATAAAAATTTGAGTTACCATTTTTGAAATTAACCGATGATGTGGCTTCATAAATAACACCTTTTGATGACACATCATCACTTAAAGGTGCCACCTAGACTTCAATGCCAAGTTTTTTTTTTTTTTTTAATAACCAAAGTGAATTAGATGTAGGATCTGTCTTAATTGCGAGTGCATTCGCTATTCGACTCCATCCTCAATCTCACAAAATATGGATTTCACCATTAATGTAATCGTTAGAAATTTAAATGACTACTATCGTAAGGAAACTATTTTGATGATCGTTAAGATAACCTTAAATAACTCAAGTGACCATTGTTAAATAACCAATTATAAACACTCAAATCATCTTGTCCACACATTTCAAGAAATTCATATGCACTACTCACTTATCCATCACTCATTTCTATTTTTTTTATAATTTGAAACGTTTATTAACACTTCCCAAATATGTTTTTAATTTGCTCTTTATTCTAGATATAAAAAAAACTCCAACACTTCTCCCTCAAAATTTGCAAGGTGAAAACTTGTGTAATTGTTCTATTTAAGATAATATATTTTCTTGTATTTCTAACATAATTGAGTAGCTCTGTCAACTTTTTAGTATGAATAATGTTATCTTCTCCCAATAGTGCCACCAATCTAGGTGAAAGGACACGATTCATCTAATTAAATATAAGAATATTGAGCCTCTTTAATCTTATTTAATCAGCCCTATCACATTTTTCTACTAGATGGGTGTTTTATCACCAGCGATTTTAAGTAACATCACTAATTTAACACTCTTTAGCTATTTGAGCCAGGATCGATAAGGAAGCACCCAGATGTGTTCATGGGAGCCAATAGAAATGGTGATTGTGTATAGGAAAGTCATGAAGTGATTAGTTAAGGTTTCTAGTTGCAAAGGTTTGCTGTTGTTGATAATTCAAGGTTTTCAATTTGGTTTTTTTATTTGTGGTTTGGAACTTTTGGAATTTATTGAAATTATGGTTTTGCAGTTATTGTTGTTGAACGTGAGAGGACGGCTTTGGAGTATTTGGGTTGGACGAAGGATCTGTCTTAGCTTTTTCAAAAGATTGAGCCGAAGAAAGCCCAGCTCTGTCAGTACTTCCTAAACATTAGCCGCAAACTAAGCTGGCTGCTGCAAGGAATGCTAAGCTTCCTTCGAAGCCTCTTCTCCCGGCTCAGGCTGGTGTGCTGCTCTCATTTTCCACTTATTTTGTTTCTACTGTTTATTTGAAAAAGAAAGGAAAAAAGTCAAAGATTTTGATTAATGTATAAATATCTAATTTCTTGTTTCTCATTGATTATTATATTATTATTTGCTTTAAACGCTTTGAGACCTATTAGAGAATTTTTAGTATATTTTTGAATGTGTTTTTACTAAATTTATGTTGAATGTGGTGTTCAATATCTGTAAAACCGTGTGTGGAATGAAAATGGAATTGGCAGCCAAGATGTTGGCCTCTGTAGTCGCATGGTCTAATGCTGTCGGGAACTAATCTATGCTGTCGCATAGATTTGTTCTATGCTACTGCATAGAAAAGAAAAACTAGTCGTCATGACAGTTTTCAGTTCGGATTTTTGGTGGGTTTTGAAAGATTTTTTGCAACTCTTCATCATGTTTTGGCACCAATTCATGGGTATTGATTGAGACCTATAAATAGGTGATGAAGAATCAATACAAAATTTTTCTAAGAAGAAAAAAAAACAAATGAAAACATTATTCCATTCCACAAAGAAGGATTAAACTTCATTCTCTCCATATTCAATCTTCCCCTTTGTGTTCTCAATATTTTGAAGAATCACACCAGTGCTGAAGTGTTAGATTCTCTACAAGGCTTAATTAATCTTTCAAACTATTTGCCAAACAACCCTTTAAGCACCATTATTCGTCCAAGAGGGGACAAATATCGTTTGAGGACAACGATATCGTGTTTGAGCCTTCATATTCGTTTTCATCTTCTTGCCATTCTATTTCTTTAGTTTCTCCTCCAACCCTTGGTAGTGAATTGTTCCTGAAAATTTCAAACGATATTTTTACTATGGAGAACGAAACCACTTTCGTGATGATCAAGTTGATGGTTCAAGATCTTGTTTGGATCGTTTTGATGGCAAGATAAGTTGAAGTTGTAAGTATTATGCCCTAGGTCCAATCAACTTTGGACATAAATACTTTTATATATAATTAATGCAATTAAATGACAGATCTATTATTTAATTAATAGACAATTAAATAAATAATAGAGTCCGTAGATTCAAATATTTGTAATTTGTTAATCACAAGGAGTTGTGATTGTGAGATACAAATTACATCTGATTGAATCTTAAATCATCCGTGGTCGTAAGTAATAACGAGATACGGATATCGTTATTACGGATAGACCATCAAGTGTGGCATTTTCTTACTTGTGAAATAAGTAGCTGATCTCACAAGTTAAAGTGTGGTGACACTTAAATGAACACGTGGATGTTTTTGTTATAGAACAAAACATTGGAGACCCGTCGAGAGATTCCACATGGATAACTATCTGAGTGTCAGTGGTTAATCTCTAACGTTCGGTAGTGGAATT